ATCGGGCTCCCTGCTCTGCGGGAAGCCTGCTTCTCCCTCTCCCACTCCCCCTGCTTGTATTTCTGCTCTCGCTGTGTCTCTCTCTGTCAAATAAAATAAAATAAAATAATAAAATAAAATAAGACCAGGGAAGATGAAAAAGACCAATAAGACATGTGTTCCCTACCCTCATCGAGCTTAGAATATATCCCTCCCTGGGCTCCTATCAAAGAGGAAATGCAGAATCAAGTACTGTTTCCCATGACATGAGAACACAAAGTCAATGTCATTAAGACCCTGCGTCCTACGATGAAGCAAGTGCTGGGTGACCCTCCCCCCACACAGGATGAGCTCCTTTCCAAAAGTCCTCAACACCATGACACCGGGCTCCTTTCCATTCTTCACTATATGAAATATACAGTTTAGCTGTGCTTTTTGGGGGTTTTCGAGTGCAAATTCTGGGTTCCACTGGTGTTTTACTAGTGTTGAAAGCAGTTATTGAGAAAAGACACTCCAAAGGTAAATGGCACATTACGGAGAGCAGACCTTACCTTCTCTTCTTGCAATCTCTCCTCCACTTGTTTAGAAGCTATTTCATGAGCTCTAAAGAGACTAATCGTGCTAGTTAGTTCTGGATCCAAAATGTTCCCGTCTTCATCTCTCACCACCAAGTCCAAATCAAGAATTCTACAACAACAAAAATTCAGAACTTCATGGACATACACCACGGCCTTTGAAGTGTGTGTTACTAACTACGATGTGAACAGCATGGAGAGTTGAAAGCACACACCTACTATATATGTTTGGGGGAGGGGTGTGTGTGTGTGTATATATATATATATATATATATATACACACACACACACACACACACACACACACATATATAGCATGTACAGAGAGAGAGAGTATGTATACATATATACATCTATATATACACACACACACACACATATATATGCAATGACATACAAACCCACGTGTCCAAATACTTAAAGCTGGTAGCTGTGACATCATCACTGAGCTGGGCAGCAGAGGGTGGAAGAGCCGGAGCGGAGGCATACCCACCATTCTATTCCAGTAAGTTTTATATCACACAGCTTTCCTTCTACCTACAGTCAGTTCTAATCCCCAATTAGCCCATCAGAAGATCTTCGATAAAGACATTCTATTGTGTTTCGACAACAAACATGTGGAAGTTATTCACAATAACATTGAGCAACTTTCTGGCCAGATGGCTAGATGAAGTAATCACCTTGAAACACAAGCAGCAGCTGTCTAATACATCTGTCCATCTATATCTGGAAATGTCTTTTTGGCAACATTCTGTTTCCCCCAAATCCAACAAAATTGTAAGGTGATTTTTAGCATAACCTTTATTTAAAGAATAAACAAAGACCATTATGTAAAGAAAGAAACCAGGAGCTGTGCTATGTGATGTGTTATGGTTTTCTTTTTAATAAGATACGAGGATCTTAACCACAGATGCCTTATACTTTGCCTTTGGGATTTTCTTCCTGCGATTAACAAGTCTACAGAAGCAGGAAATTTTCGGGGTTTTTTTAACCATACGGCAGTGTAAAGAGTCTGCTGAAAGAAAGATAAATTTCAATTAAATAATGCCTTTAACAGTTACAGTTTTAAGAGGAAAGTTGATTTGGTAATAAAGACTCCAACCAGACAAACTCATCTCTGATTTCTCTTCTCTGCAGGTCACACACCTTGACACTGGATAGGAGTCTGATACCGTGTCAAGCAGGACCATTCTGACAAATATGCTGGGCCACTGTACCATTCGGAAGGCGGTCACAAAGACCTTGCTTTTCCCTCTGAGTATCTATTGAGCAAATCCACTGATGGTGAAGCAGAACCGACTGGACCTGTCAGCAACATGAGGCTTTCAAACAAATACAGGCTTTTCGCTCTGCATGAAAACAGCCTCAGTAGTTGCAATGATTGTGGGGGACCTCAAGAGGACAGAAAGATATTTAAAAAAAAAAAAAAGGCTTTCGGGCTCTCATCAATTGTCTCTGTAACACGTTTCACTAATGAGGTAAAGACCCTCTCCCAAATATTACTGCTCATCCAAACCCTGAACCTGTCCCTGGAAGGAGTCAGTGCTGGTATAGGCGGGGTCAATGCTGGTGTGGGTGGAGTCAATGCTAATGAGGTAGGGAGAGAATCCTTTCTTGCATGGGCCGAGCCAGTGCTGGTGTAAGTATAGGCGGGGTCAATGCTGGTGTGGGTGGAGTCAATGCTAATGAGGTAGGGAGAGAATCCTTTCTTGCATGGGCCGAGCCAGTGCTGGTGTAAGTATAGGCGGGGTCAATGCTGGTGTGGGTGGAGTCAATGCTAATGAGGTAGGGAGAGAATACTTTCTTGCATGGGCGGAGCCAGTGCTGGTTTAAGTTGATCTACAAAGTAGCTGGCTTTAGGAGGAGGGGCCAGAGGTCCTGGATGCCACACCACATCAGGCTCCCTGAGGAGCAGAGGCCCAGGCTATATGTACCAGCCTGCTGCATACATCCTGCCAGGTGCACCTCCCCTCACTCCTTCCAGGACAGGTGGTCAGACCCATTTCGCAAAAGAAGAAACCTAAGCTCAGAGAAACATCTAGAAGAACCCAGAGCCTGGATTCTGAGCCAGAACCCTCTCATGGCAGAGTCGAGGCTCTTTCCAGAATGTCACATGGAAAATGGTACACGAAGTGACCTGTCAGGGGTCTTCTTCATGCCAACTATTCTGCGTTTTCTCAACAACAGTGCTCATAAGGCTCTGAAACCACAGTGAGCTTCCACTATGAAGGTGGACCTTAGCACAGCAAGAGGGCCAAAGACTGTCTTATTAAGGACTGTATTTCCGATGAAAGTAGTAAATAATGTTTTGAAACACTTCCTTTCTTAACTAGATTGTTCCATGACATAATGTACCTTGGTTGCTTCCCACAGCCTAATTTGCTTAATTTAGCAGGTGGTTTCTGAATGAAAGTTTAAAATACAATACTCCAATAGAAAACAGAATCAAAGCTCCAAAGGTTTGTTTTTTTTTAAGCAGGTCCTCATGAAATGGGTTTCCCTGCAACAATATCTAATATCCTACACACAGAAGTCTCTGACTTTTTGGTGGGGGGGGAGAGACATCTTCTCCTGTAGCCTTTTTAATCCAAATACTACATGTAACTAATAATGTTGTTTTTAGAAACTTTTCACACTTGAAAGGAGGAAGTACTACAAAACAAAATTATGTTATAATTCTGATATTACAGAAAGATTCTTTAGTTTACCCAGGGCACCTTTCAGCTGAACAGCTGGGGACAAACCTCTCCCATTCTCTGAGCATACTGTCCAGAGGTTCCGATTCTCCCAGAAGTTCCCCAATCTGCTATCCAGCATCCAGCATGGTCCAACCCTATTTTTAAAAACTGCGATTTCCAGCCAGCATTGCACATCTTAGAAATCAGAATCTTCAGGAGTGGGCCCCATAATTCTATATTTTGAAAGCTCTCTAAGTGATTCTGATACAGACCAGCATCTGGGAATCATGTGACCAGGTAATTTTTAAAGGCTTCTTGTAGCTCTGACTTTACAGGAACAACCAAACAGTTAGCCCGTGGGAAAGGACGTGGCCTCACTCCGGTCACAGACTTGGCAGAATCAGAATGAAGCAGCTCACTCCTGCTCAGCATCCGGATGCCCTGCGAACGGTGGAACGCACAGCGCCGTGGGGAAGGGGGCGCACCACTGCTGAAGACATGCAAGCAGAGCTGAGTGGAGGCCTGCTGTAGATGGGAACTTTTGCAAAAGACATCCTTACACAAAGCAAAATTATTTGTTGTTTATCTGAGATTCAGATTTCTGGTGATAAGTTTCAAGGTGACCTTTAATGTCCCTTCCAACTCTTAGAACTTAGGATTCCACCAAGGCAACCTGGTGCTTGTTATTGCACAAAGTACGCCCATGTCTGGACTCGAAGTCAAGTACTGTGAGCAGAAAATAACTAAAAGTCCCTTGTCAGGGGAAATCACAGCAGTGTCATCTATGGAAGAGTGAAAATGACAGGTCACCCTGGCCCCAGCTTCTCAGAGACAAGAACAGGTTTCGACAATGACTGTGAAAACTCCTGATTTTTAGAATCCAATAGAAAATAACCTATCCTTTTAAAAATGAAAACTATACCCTTATTTTGATGTTAGAAATTGTTTTATGATAAAATATGATTTTAACCTCCTCAAGGCTTATGGTAATGTTATTATATTGGATAATTTAAGCATGAAATCATCTTTCAAATAAACAAACCTGTTGCCATAATCAATTTTGGCAGTGACCTTCTTCTTCAGTTCTTTGAGCTCATCCTGTGGCAGAGTTCCAGAAAGAATCTGTGACCGCCATTCAATAAGGTCGTAGATCATGTGCCGCACACTTCGAAACATCTCCCTATTGTCTTGCTATATAGAGGGGAGAAAAGCCATGTATAAAGCTTTTGGTAGGAAAAAACACTGTGGGTTGTTTTTCAAATACACATGTAATATATGCTTTATATGATGGGATTCAATCAATGTTAAAAGCAGGAAACAGGAACACGATATGGAGCCTGTTTCCTATCAGGCACTAAAAGATCAAAAGGATAAGAAGTAATGCAAAATCCTCAATATTCCATCCAACATTCCAGAACATGTGTCCCTAAATGGAGAGGTTAATCAGAGAGAAATGGATGTGGAGCCATATGAACTTCTAGTACGTGGCCCATAGATGGGCTACCCTGAAACTCCCACAGAATAAGTGTGAGTCTAAAGATCTTGCCATGGAGGGACACCTGGATGGCTCAGTGGGTTAAGCGTCTGCCTTTGGCTCAGGTCATGATCCCAGGGTCCTGGGATCGAGCCCCGCATCGGGCTCCCCGCTCAGAGGGAAGCCTGCTTCTCCCTCTCCCACTCCCCCTGCTATCTCTGTCTCTGTCAAATAAATAAATAAAATCTTTAAAAAAGAAATGAGGATGAAATTCATCCATTTGTTCCTTCACCTTTCTCCAGCAGACTGGGGACACCTTCACTTTCCCCCAGCAGACTGGGGACACCTTCACCTTTCTCCAGCAGACTGGGGACACCTTCACTTTCCCTGAGTAGATGTGACTAATCTCTCCCTTTTCTTGAGCTGTTACCAAAATAACAGAACACAAATATGGAGGACAGATGGCACCTATTTCATGATAACCGTGTCCTCCTCACAATCCGTTCTCCTTCTACCTCTTCATCACTTTGACTATTCAGTGCAAATTTACTCCTAAATCAATCAATCACCAAGTCCAGAAACCCTAAAAACTTCCAGTGACTGGCTTTCCTCCAGGCTGAGAATGTGGGTCAGGGTCTCCCTCAGGAGATGTGATCTGCTTGAAAACCAAATATATGATTTATATCTGAAACTTGCAGACTGAAGCATCCTGGGCTGCGCGTCCACAGAAACCACACAGAAAAGAATGAAGAGATTTTTTTTTCTAACAGAAGAGCTTATAAATCAAAGCAGCCCACTGTCCAATATTCAGCAGCAGCTCCTATACAGAGTGAATGTGATGATCTTGAAACTCTCAGGAAAAGGAGAGAAATGCATTACCGGCCACTCCAAAAGGCCTCCGCAAGCCCGAGGTCAGTTTTCTGGTGTTGTTGTCCCTCAGCTCCATGCGACCCACTCGAACGATTTGACAAACAAAACTGATTTTGTCCCGTTTCAGGTCTTTGCTTCCGAGGTCCTAGAAATATTAATTTCCATAAATTATCTTGGAGAACCATTACTCAGTGCAGGTTCAATTGAAAAAGACAGTAAAAAGAAGGATTGAGACTCTCTGACCAGTTTTTAGCATTTTAATAAGTTATTCACATAACAAAAAGGAACTGAATAACAACAGTCAATTAATGTTAAGCTATAAGAGAGTGCTGGGGTAAATCTCTGTCATGGGGATTCGAAGGGAAGCCAGAGACCCAGAACAGTTCTGGGAAGGCGTTTTGTTATTACTGAATTCCCATGGATTATAGGCATCCCAGGGATCCATATTCTAGCAGGTAGGAAAGTCAGAGGGAGGTCATTAAAAATAATCATTAGGATGGTGAATGATGCAAAGGAACATCTTTGGGTGTACTTACAGTAAAGACAGCTCGCAAATTATGTAATCTGTCTATATCTTTAGGCAATCCTGAACTTGACCAGCGAACCAGGTAGTTTTCACTTGAAAACAAAAGAAGTAAGAACAAATTCATTTTCCAAATACAGCACGGCACTAAACAGACACCCACATTGATTTACTACTACCACCACGGAAGTCCACGATACAGGCAACTACACGAGCTCAGAAATGTCAGCCATGCCACACAGAGCTGCTCTTCCATTAACATGTAAGTCATCTCCCACGCAAGGTTAACAGTTGAGAACAGTCAGCACAAAACCCTTGAGAGGCTGTCATTTGTGATGTCTAGGGTTACAACTGTAGTGGAACTATTTGCAAATGTCATTTCAAAGTTTATTATTTTAAAAGCATTACTTGTGGGGGCGCCTGGGTGGCTCAGTCGTTAAGCGTCTGCCTTCGGCTCAGGTCATGATCCCAGGGTCCTGAGATCGAGCCCCGCATCGAGCCCCGCATCGGGCTCCCTGCTCCGCAGGAAGCCTGCTTCTCCCTCTCCCACTCCCCCTGCTTGTGTTCCCTCTCTCGCTGTGTCTCTCTTGGTCAAATAAATAAATAAAATATTAAAAAAAAAAAAAAAAGCATTACTTGTGTATTTACACTGCCTATAATCTAAAATTCACCATTCATTCATTTATAGTATAAAAGAAATACCGCACGTCTATTTCATAGCCAGAACAACCAAATATGCCAAATACACAAACTGAATCCTAAGAGGAAGAAATGAAGTCCATATGAGAAATGATGAGGGGCGCCTGGGTGGCTCAGTCATTAAGCATCTGCCTTCGGCTCAGGTCATGATCCCAGGGTCCTGGGATCGAGCCCCGCACTGGGCTCCCTGCTCTGAAGGAAGCCTGCTTCTCCTCCTCCCGCTCCCCGCTTGTGTTCCCTCTCTCACTGTGTCTCTCCCTGTCAAATAAATAAATAAAATCTTTAAAAAAGAAATGAGGATGAAATTCATCCATTTGTTCTGTTTTCTGTCACATACTAACTTTTAAATTTTTGAATAATACAGGGGCACCTGGGTGGCTCAGTTGGTTAAGCATCTGACTCTTGATTTTGACTTAGGTCAAGATCTCAAGGTCATGAGATTGAGCCTCGCATCAGGCTACGCGCTGAGAGTGGAGTCTGCTAAGATTCTCTCTCTCTCTGCCCTACCACCTCCCCCCCGAATGCACATGTGCTCTCTCTCTTAAAAAAAAAAAAAACTTGAATACAAACGAAGATATTTCAGTTTTAAACACATACACACACCCATACACACTTCACACATAATTTAAACCATAAGTTTTCCATCTGGACAAAGAGAAACTTATACTGAGACAAAAGCAAGAACTGGGAAAGAGACCACATTACAAATGACAGGAATGGCAGAGACGAGATTTATAATATTTTGTTCAACAAATATTAAGTGAGAGTCTTTATGTAGCACTGGTCTGGACACTACCTTCCAGCCAGTCATGCTGCAGAAACAACAACAGGCCAAAGGACCGAAAACGACACTGACAAAAAACAAAAGTTCGACACAGCAAGATTAAGACAAGACTGATACTATCTGGGGGGGTCTGGAAACATAAAACCCTATGAAGACAACACAGGAAACAATCAGTTCAATCTTTAGGCGCCAGGTCCCTGAAACATTACAAGACCAAAACTCTACAGTCAAATACCCACGTGCGTGCAAGGAAGAAGCAAGCAGACGCTGGCCCAGATCCCGAAACAGCCCTGGGTTCAGCCCGTCACCCCAGTGCTCTGTGTGAGAGCAAGAGCTGAGGCAGTGTCAGTGACGTTCTCCTAACACTAACTGGAGAGGAAAGGGAGGAGGCAGCCCCACTGACCTGATGAATTTGGACTCCACGGGGTCATAAAGAGACATGAGCACTTCGGCATCTTCTCCGATTTTACAAACCACATTTTTGAGGTTGACAAACAAGGCCAGAGAAGGGGTGGCAGCAAACTTCGCTTGTCTGTTAATATCTATGTTCTGCTTTTGGGACTATGTAAGTAGAAAAAAGAAAAGTGGACATTAGCGATACTTACCACTAACCCTCGCTTTCTTTCTTCTCGACAGAAGAGGAAACTATGTGCAACCAGTTGGCGTAACACGGCGAAGCCTCAAGTCACTTCCTTGTCCCACATCAAGTTCTCAACACATGCACGCACCCAGCTGAAAGTAATTATGCCCTTTGCAGAGGTCACAATCCCTTAAGAGTTTGCCCTGAGTCCTGTCTTCAGATACTCGAGTTGTCTACGCAGTCAATCACAATGGTGTTTACATGCATACTTGCTTAATTTTTGTTTCTGCATTAGGCTAAATCCTCCGAGGACATTTCTGTCTTACTCATCCTTATGTCTTCAGTAGGTGGCACAGAGCAGGTGCCCAATAAAGACTTGCTGAATGAATGGCTGACTCAATCAATTGATTTCTGAATATCTGCTATACAGAAGTTCCCATTAAAGACCAGGGAAAATGGGGCGCCTGGGTGGCTCAGTCGGTAAGCGTCTGCCTTCAGCTCAGGTCATGATCCCGGGGTCCTGGGATCGAGCCCCGCATCGGGCTCCCTGCTCTGCGGGAAGCCTGCTTCTCCCTCTCC